ATCCTCCAAATTACACAGTCTGAACTGTGAAACTTCAAAGGAACATTATGTATTTAAGACGTCTGTACTAAAATTCACAATCCACACAGGAGAAATGATTTGATTCAAGTTGAAATTATGTCTCTTTTATTTGCTTTACAACATTTAGAGGGGATTGAAGTTTGTTTTTTTTAATTAAGCAAATTAGTTAAGTATTATGCTTGGTAATATATGTGTATTGTAAAGGTTAAGGACTATAAAAACATCATTTAAAAAGTTTGAGTTGGAATAAAAAGGAAAATTAGCTTTTCCAACAGTAACTTAGTAATAGCACTAATGTCAAAAATTTGTCTATTAGCAAAATGAGCTTTTTTAACCCAGGGGCGGTTCTTGATAATTAACACTATTTTAATGAAAGTAAGGCATAAGTTGTTAAAAAAACAAATAAAAAAGTTGACCCCTTTTACAGAGATATTTTAAGCCATAATTGGTTTACCAACAATGTTAATGCTAAAGCAGGACCTTCTAAGCTGTAGCTGTCTGGGATACAAACCAATACAAAAGAATATTTTGGTGATATAGTTTGCTAATATTTTATTGAAAAATTAATGCCTTGAATATTTCGCAACAGCTAAAGTGTTAAAATATGACATTTTTAACAAGTTTTATTTCTGATCTCTGCAGCCATCAGTGCTGATGAATGGCATAGAGTATTCAAAGTTTGTTACAATATCAGTGACTTTTCATGTCTTAATAGTTTAACAACATTGCTTAAATGTACTACAGTAAAAAAAAAAAGGCTTTTGATATCGTCGCCAATCAATGGCACATTGTTTGCATAAGTTTAAGAAGACGTATTATTATGACAGTAACATTTTATGACTTAGGTAGTAAAGCTGCTCATACATCATTAAATTGACTAGAATCTGTTGAGTCCATGGCACATTTTAGCTTGTGGCAAACTGAAAATATTTACGTGTTAACCTTGGAAAAGATAAGTATCGTCAAGGATTTAAGACCGAATCACAATAAAATAGTAGATTCCTATTGGTCAAGATGCTAGTGCCACAGTGGAATCAGCAGAGATGTCTGCTGTGATAGGTTGGAACCTTTGCAGTACATTTTCACAATATTAGAAAGTTATACGGTGGTGATATTATTCTTCCATATTGCAGGGACAATATCAGTTACAATAAATCCACATTTTCCTCACTCCTCTCTTTGTCATCTGTCATTGGATGGCTTCCAACATTCTGTGACATTTGCTATCTTTGGCTCTATCATTTGTGCCAGGTGTGGGTTTCTAGACTCTATCCAACAGACTGAATATATTATTGGCCTGCAAGGTGTGAATTCCTTGCATTTGTTTATACACAGCAAGTATATTTCATTTCAAACAGCTATTAGTCATGATGACATTGCATACACTAATGTGATACATTAATAATATACTCTACTATAAGCTCTTTATCATATTATTATATGTGCATTTGTTTTTTGTTTGTAATATATGAATATATGCTTGTATTCTGAACTGAGAAATTACACATACACAATGCTAACCTGTGCAGGAACTGACTGTGCAAATACTTTGTTATCCAAATGTATTAATAAACCATAACTGACAAATAAAGTTTGACATCATGCCAAATAATGTAGTTAAAAAAATAACTAGTTAATAACGAATCAATTATGTGTGGGGATCGAGTTTTAGCTGTTAAATAGATTTGTCCAACTGAAATGCATTCATAACAATCTAACTTTATTATGTATTTATAAAGTGCCTATCTTTATCATTTAACACTTTTACAGTGTGCTTTATCAGTGTAAAATCGATAATCAGTGCAAGAAATTTGCTTTTTTTCCTTTTAAATCAGCATGTCTACTGTATGTGCTTTTACCACATGTGGCAAATGTGGGTGACTTAATTTAGCAGAGCAGACCCTGTGTTATTGAATATATTATCTTTTCCACATATAGTCAATGGACTGGAATGAGAGTATTTTGCAATGCAAATAAGTCTATGGGAATGAAGGGGTGGAGCCGACATGTCTTGCGCAAGTGTGGTCTTTAGGACAGGCAATGCATGCACTCAGGGTAATTACTAAATAATTGCAGTGTGTTAAATACTAACGCCAGGGGGGTTTCAGGAGAAGATCCCCCTCCTCAAAGGAAGAATTCACAGAGATGATAGCTTGTCTAAGCTGCTGGCCATAAATAGCCACCTTTCTCATGAAAGGGAAATGTGATAACTGCTCTTATTACTCAAGAGGAAAGAATGTAAGTAAACCATCAGCGGAAGAGTCAAGTACAAACACGGCTTTGTCCGCCCCTATAAACAATATAACAGCAACAGAGAGTAATCTCCACGCAGCCGCAAAGTGATCAAAAGCAAGTAAGCAGCAATTAAAGTGTTGCTGTCATTATATCCGAGAGAAAAAAAACACACATATTGTTTGTTCCACGGCTCATAATCTGGGAACGCTGATTAAACAAACTTTTGGAACAGCACCAATGGTGTCACAATTTGTATACAAGTTTTTTTTAAATGTTAACAGCTCAAAGACCCATGGAGAAAATAAAAAAAAGTCACTTTCTAATGAATTGTTAGGCCCATTGTTTTGACAGAATGATCGTTATCATTACAAATAATATTCGTAATGATAACAAGTGTGTAATTTAACAAAAAAAAAAACGTTAGAAAAACTTTTAGAACCTACTTAAAGGTATAGAGGACAATCTTTTATTTCTGAACGGATCAACAAAATAAGTGTTCCTCCTAATTTTCAATAATTAGGCAGCCTACACGCTCAACCCTTTAGCTATCTTTTTATGCGCATTTTCACTTTCAGGCGTATGTATGTTTATGTATGTTTTATGTGACCAACGGGAAGCAAAAAGCAGTGATCATCTCTCCGAATGGTAAGTTAACGTATTTCACTATAAATTCCCCGCTCTGTGTAGTGATTTAGGGCCACGTATGAGCCATGAGAAAAGCAATTTTTAAAAGAGCGTGCACGAGGAGAAATAGGCTCATGCATGCATGAAGTGGAGAGAGTGGGTCTTTTTTTTTTTTTATCGTGAAAATCCTCCACGATACCTTAAACAAGGCGGACAGCACATCATTTTGCAACAACCAAAGCCAAGATGGTTGATTTAGCTTTAAGTAGCTCAATTGGCTAGCATGGAATGATGTTGGGATTAGCGGAATATAATTCATATTAATTTTCAATGGTGTGCAGGTGGCGCAGTGGTTAGCGCGCATGACCCATGTACGGAGGCCTTAAGGGCTGGTTATACTCCCCGCAGCAGTGTGTCGCAGTGAGCTTTACGCAGACGTTTTAGATTTAAGTTGTTCCGACAACGGAGAGATATGAGGGTGAAAAAGAGCGGGGATCCAGGTGGGAAAAGGGTTCCAGCATTCTCACGCACCTCGCTCTTCTAGCCGGTCCTACTTCAGGAGTCGTTTTCCGCAATTGCGGTCATAAAAACAAAACAAGCCGGCCTCCTTTCTGCGGCGCTGTCTACGTTCACCTACAATTTGGGAAAGGTGCAGCAGAGTGTCTGCGGAGGGGGCGGGGACCTCTTTTTGTTCACTGCGACACCTACGCAGACGACCTAGTTTCGAAGTATAAATCAGCCTTTAGTCCTCGATGCGGCCGACCCGGGTTTGAATCCGACCTGTGGTCATTTGCCGCATGTCTCTTCCCTTCTCTCATGCCCTCTTTCCTGTCAGCCTACTGTCAACCGTAAAAACTCAAGAAAAAAAAAAAGAATATATATATATATATATATATATATATATATATATATTTTTTTTTTTTTTTTTTAAGTGGATTTTCTTCCGAACACTTAAATGTTTCAAAGCACAAATCAAAAACATCTCATAATACACATAAGATGACTGAACCTCCATATTCAATATTGTGTAATCAAACTGTTATTGCAGGATTTGTCGCCAACATAAACAAATAAAGCTGTTAAAATTCAATACATTTATGAAATAATATTAGATTAAATACAAAATACTTCCAATACCTACTGTAGCCTATACCATGAACCGAAAAAAGTCCAGAATTACTTTATACAAAAAATATTTATATTACATATCTTAATTTTGTACTGACCTACACTTCTAAATATGTGCTGCAGTTGAACTGTGTTTCTTAAATAACTCTAAATCTCTGTATGCATACCTCAATTTAATCAGCTATGAGAAACATTTTGAGTATCTTTGGATTTGTTTGGGTTTACAGTGTTACCACACACCCCCACCAATAAATTCCTTTTTATAGTGTAATGCCATTGAGCGTAACCGGATCACAGGCGCCACATATGGCCATAGTCAATCATAACCATTGCATGTCTGCGCCAACAAACAGCGAGGCAGGCGCGGCTGAGAGAAATGTGAGCCGACAATATCATTGTTTGAGGACAGAAATGTTCACTAGGGAACATTATGCAAAGCAAAGAGGGTATATAGTTAAGACGTGTCAGCACTGGCTCGGCTCGCCTCTGGCAGCCTTTTTATGACTTTCAACATCAAGCAGCGTTAATAAATATCGTACGGATCTGCATCTGATCCCATCATGCAATCATTACTACAGCGTTTCGCAATTTCCGCTTTGAATGTCAGCATATCTGACATGCTTTTAACCAGAAATGAAAATGACAGACAGGCAGGAACAGGATTGTTGCATTATTTTTTCTTTTTTTTTTTGTAACCCTCCCCACACACACACTCACAGCATTTTTTTTTCTCTCTCTCTTTTTTATTATGACACCATTAACCCCACGGAGCGCAGCTCTTATTGCGCGCAGCTGGACAAGTGCGCATTCAGCATGTTGACACCACAATAGACAAACAAGGCTGGACTCTACAAGTATAAAGAGCAAATTCCGCTATAAGTCGGTTTTTCTTCACCAATTGATACATCAATGTCATAATAAGAAAAATAAAAAAAACTGTAAACAAATGTAGAAATTCCTCGAAATAAGCGAAGCGATTCAGACACTCCTACCTCTCCATGAGCGACGGATCGTCCCTGGGGAGTATCCTCGGGTAGGAAATAAAGTTTGGAGCTGGATAAAAGTTGCTTGCTTGTTCTTTCCTCCCATAGAAGCTGCAGCTCCGCTATGCATATAGGATCCTCGGGTTTGCATCTGACGAAGAAAAAGTCCCCAAGAGCGAGGATTCTGGCTTTGCCATCCCGGCTAAATTTAAAGGCTTTATAGAATATATATGGTCCATGTAAACCGCAAGACGAGCCCACCCACTGTGGAAAGAAATAAAAAATAAAAATTATTAATAAAAAAAAAATATATATAGGCCTATATATTAAAGAAATGAAAAAAAAAATAAAAATAAAAAAAATAAATAATTAAAATTTGTATCTTTACGCACTGTAAATATATTACATCCACCTCTTGATTTTTGCGCACAATCACAACAATGAAAACTGTTTAACATGTTCAGCATAAACATTTAATTCAACGCGTGGAAGTTTCGCGCGTGTTTTATAAAATAATTATGATTAAAAGAAGGGCATTTATTGATTAAAGCAAGCAAAGGGAAATTGGAATAAATGGACGCATGAAAACAAACGTTACCTTCAGTGAGTTCGGCTCCATCTCGACGTTATGAATTGATTAAACTCTACACGCTCTCCAAACTTGCTGGCTTGAATGGATTGTCGAAGGTCCTGGAAGGGGCGTAGCTATATGGAGTTTCAAACATGATATTTTAGGCGTACAGGATGTGTGAAAAATGCGGGTTGGTGTAGAAAATGTTTTTTGTTTCTTTTGGTTTAATTAGATGTAAAAAATTATTAAAATAATATTTTTTTTGCTATTTTTTTAAACATTTACGCGCCAGTCCGCAAAATATTTCAATATATTTAATAAATGTTGAACGATTTTTAATTATTCGCTACATATTTTTATAATTGTAAATATATAACACGTAATGCTGCTTTATTTGTGGCGATTTGGGGCTTTTATGGGCTTTTAATCCGCGTTTTCAGCTTTTATGGTGTCCTATCTCTTCCAGGACTTTCGTAAAAGACGTCCAATATGAAAGCACATTTCTCACAGTAATGACACTGAGGCGCTCGCTGTGGATGCCTTCAAGAAACAATGTTACATGAAAGTTAACAGGGCTATCAAATGATTCCTCAAAAGGAAAACCGGGAGGCGATTCGCTTTGGCTTTGACCGCGATTAAGACCTGGAAGATCTATTGTAATGATGAAAAAAAAAAAGATAAAATTTTAATGTTTATTTATTTTGTGATGAGTACAAAAAGAAAAAAAATGTCCGAAAGAGAAAGCAAAGGTGTCATGGGACAGAAATCACGATGCGCACACATAAATCATTTAAAACTGACCTTGTGACGAAAACGTGGGGTTTGAATGCATTTGACATGGTTAAATAGCCTGCAATTACATGATCAAAGCCTCCAATAAAACAATAATGTATATTTATATATGTTTTCAAACAACTTGTAGTTATGAAATAACTCAACGATTAAACATATATAGCCTATATATACCCACATTGGTTATCTTCTTTATGGAGAGTCAATCAAACGTAATGGATTTTATTTATTTCTATTGTTCTCCGCTGGCTCTATGTGTGCGCTGCATTTTATCAAAGGGTGACTGGGATTATTCATACTGGAAGCAGTACCAATCCAATCCACAGCGCGTCGCTGTTTCACCATCTTCTGCACCCTTTGGCCTGCGTTTATCCAGAACTCTGATCACAGAGCCTGCAACAGTGACACAGGTCTACTTCTGACACAAGCTATTTCAAGCACACTATTACGCAATGCGCCTTTTTTCTCGCCCTGAAATAAGGGCCAGAGCATCAGTGAAGCCACAGAAGGGAGGGCTGAGAGGACAGTACCCATTCCTTTAAATAAACACTATGATATTTATAATTTGTTTTTTATAAACAAGGCTTTAGAGGCAGAGAGGACAAATTTTGTTCATATTGTAGATGTTATACTTCATGTTTTGTGTTATATAACTCCTGACTCTGCACCCTATGTCCATATGTCTGTCTACATTAGAAATGACAATATAATTCTAACTCTGATAAAAGAAAAAACTATTTGCAAAAACTATATAAGAACAGATAAATAAAAACTATATAACATTATAAACTCCTCTATGTAAAAAAAAATATATGTTAGAAGTAAGAATTTACAAAACAAACAAGATGAAAAACTTCTTTGCTTTGAACTAGTGCTTTGTATGCATTGTTTTCAGTCCAAGTGTTCAAATTTGGCTGCATTAGAACACAACACTTTCTACCATTCTGATATATTTTTATGAAGATAGGTTTTGAGAAGAATTTTTTCTTATTTCTTTAATCAGAATCAGATTTATTGCCCAGCAGGCTTGCACTTAGAAGGAATTCGACTTGGTGTTGAATAGGCTTCTGTAATTTTCTTCATTTTAAGAGCTTATTACTTTAAGATATCTTTCGCAACCTCTCATCACATGATGACAGCCTCATGCACCAACCGCAACTCTAGTTAGCTATCAACTTAAAACAGTGTATCGTCAAAAAACAATAATTTTTGATTTAAAAACCAAGGTTAAAATCCTAGAACACGTAAAGAATGAAGAGATTGAGTTTCAGAGTTAGGACAGAAAGTTTTCTAAAGCAACATTTGTTAAAGTCTCTGATGTTTTTTATATACTTGAAGCATAAAGTGACATTATTTTGTCATAATTTCTAATATGCAAGCAGCGACATACAATAAGCAATACAGTTCCATAGTGTCTGTTATAGCTCTCCAAAGCATCCCAACATGAACAGTGCCCACCATCTCCCTCTGCCCAAACTTTTCAAAACCTTCTAGGAAGTGTGCATGCTGGGTATCCATTGTTTCACAACCTGATAAGTGTATTTTTATTCTGCAAAATGACAAATGTTCCTCCTCCTGTTAACTAAATGTCTATCTGATATTAATCTCAGAGGCGTGCAGTGACAGATGAGTCAAGGCTAAATATAGTCATTTCCTCTCATTATAGCTTATCTCTCCTCTTCCCGCTGTTCAAGCCAAGCATTATATATTAATACAAAGAAAACAGTTGAGCTAATGCTGTGTGACACCTTGATATTTTCTGTTGCAGCTGAGAGAACTGGAACAGGGCAAAGGTGATTCACGCAGACTTAATGTTTGTCTTGAGGTTGTATCAGTATTGGGATTCCTGCAGTGAATCCAATATAAACCACAGCTCCCAGTGTTATCTTTCCCTGATTTCTCCCACAGCGGCTGAATCAATGGGGTTGCATTGTTAATGGCTGCCAGCCACCATAATGAAGTTGTTGGTTAATCAATGGCCCCAATCCGGCTCTTATCTGCTAGTTGCAAAGTGTTTGAGTGTCAACAGGTAGAACCCAGCACGAGCAAATCATTAAGATGCAGATATTGATGACAGTGATGTCACTCATAGAGATATGGTGATAGAGAATCAAAATGCAAATGTGGGTTGAAAGGGAAACTAATTAAATGCCAATACATTAAGGGCATGGTAGAAATCCATATGGTTGATTTTTGTTCCCTCACATCCAGAACCAAAATGTGACACTTAAAATAAAGCAATAAGATGGAGGAATGAAGAGGAGGAGACATAGAATGTGTTTCCTTTGCAAAGAAAAACTAGACTAAACCAAAGGGGGTTAACACAAAGGTGCCATTCTGAAATGACATATTGAATACAGTCAAAAAGAATCCAATAAAAAAAAAAAAAAAAATGTAACCATAACTATGACTGGTAAGAAGAGTTCGGCATAATATATAGAACAGTGTGTACACATAAAAAATGGGAACCTTGGATCAATAGGCTGAAGCAGATCTAACTGCATGGGTGAATCTACAAAGTGACATCCAGATTTCTCAGTGGGACATAGAGAAGCATGAAGGATCAAGATGTGTCCTTTTCCTTCTGCTTTGCAGCAGTAAGATAAAGGATACCTGGTGAGGTGGTAAAGTGCTAACTCACTCTCAACACAGGTGTTAAACAGTCCAACCTAATGAGGCAGCCCCAGCAAGAAACTACAGATGGGAAAAGGAGGGCTGCTGTCACAGTTTCAACCACCTCAATGTCATCATACTTATACCAGACATGGACATCTTTTGAGACTGAAAATAATATTAGTTTTGCAGAAACAATTATATCTTTTATTTAGATTCCTCAACTGCTTAATATTAATATTTATATCCAGGGCTACAGTGTATGGCCTACTTTTGTGCTCTTGGTATACCTGATAAATGTGGTCACAGTTCATCTGAATATTGGAACATTTAGCTGCAAGTGGTGACCTTTTTCTTATCTAAAATGTGTGTAATCCTTTTTAATATATAGTGATAAAACCAGACAGCCATAGCGGGTTACATATAGCATATATATGGTAAAACGTTTCTGAATATTTTAATTTTGACCATGCAAAGATACATGGGTTTGACTGCAGGATCTTATTTTCCATCTTTCTTACTTTTACTCAAGTTAGACTAAAAAGAAGCCATGCGAGAAATTATTCAGGTAAGAGTAAAAGAGTATTTGATAAAAAGGTTACTCAAGTACTGAGTTATTACTTATTCAAAAATGATATAATGATATAATTAATTAAAAATTATATAATAAGACAAAAGAAAATTTAAGTTATTTGCATATTCTGGTATTTTAAGGATTAGAATGAAATAATTAAGACTAGGGCTGCAACAAAAGATTATTTTGCAAATCAATTAATCTGTCAATAATAGACTTTCAGAAATTAAACTAGGTGAAACTAAAACTTTTCCACTTGAGGAGTTCTGGATAGAACATATTGACAGATATGTTTTTTTCAAATCTTAAATGCAAGATGTTTATATATTTTTTTACAATCTTGGAATAATTACTGCTCTAAGAGGGTTGCTCTGTCAGCTAAAGGCATGTTTTAGAGTAAAGTTAATCATTAATCAATCACTAAATTAGTTGACGATTATTTAAATAATCGATAATACGATTAATTTTTTCAGGTCTAATTAAGACAAATTTATAATTTTATTGATAAAAGCTGATATTAGATACAGTCAGAAGAAACTCTTTTCCAGATCAGTTTTCCTTTTCATATAAATCTTACGAAACCGATTCTCACATTAGCTAATTTATACACATAAAAAAGTATAAGTCTATGTGTAGTGCTGGATTCAGACTTGAACCTCCAAAACCATTTAAAGACAATTACAAGGTCAGCTTTCTATCACCTGAAGAACATTTCCAGGATTAAAGGACTAATGTCTCAGCATGATCTGGAAAAACTAATCCATGCGTTTATTTTTAGTCGAATTGATTACTGCAACGGTGTTTTCACAGGTCTGCCTAAAAAGTGGATCAGACAGCTGCAGCTGATCCAGAACGCTGCTGCCCGTGTCCTCACTAAGACTAAGAAAGTAGAGCACATCACCACAATTCTAAAGTCCTTACACTGGCTCCCTGTATCTCAGAGAATAGACTTTAAAATACTTCTGTTAGTCTATAAATCTCTGAATGGCTTAGCACCTAAATACATCACAGACTTGCTATCAGTGTATCAACCCTCCAGACCACTCAGGTCTTCTGGCTCCAGCCTGCTCTGCATACCTAGAACCAGAACTAAACATGGAGAAGCAGCATTTAGTTCCTAT